CTAAGCTTACTTACACCACTAGAGAGAAAACAAAACGGTGTAAGAGCAGGCCAGCATTTGGGGGTGCCCGGAACTACAGAGAGGAAAAGAAGTAAGAGCTAGACTAAGCACTTCAAGCTCAGGTTGTTAACAGTCACTTCTAGGGGCTGCAGGTCCAATACTATCCATAAAACAAACAATCCTTTGGCTAAACAACTTAAGAGTTTAGAAGGAGAAAGAAAAAACTGAAGAGATATGAAAGAAATGTATACACATTTCCCACGACAGCTTCAAAATCTTATAATGACTTCATTTTACAAAATAACTTAGTTGATACTTATGAATAATCCAGAGATAAATATTTCAAAACTTACTTCCTAATTTATTTTACTAATATTTTTAATGAACAATAAACAGAGAAACAAATCAGAGACAAATGCAAAAACAATGAAAAATTAAAGAGTCAGAATATTTTACTTGGGTCCCAGCTCTTCCATTTAATCCTGCGTCAATATTGGCACCTTTCTTGCCCACACCCCAGGCCCTAGGTCCCTTTATAAAGCTCTAGTTTAAACAGACAATGAACAAGTTTTATAAGCCATGCACTACTGCTACTATGATATTTTATTTCTCAAAATGTAAAAACACGCATGCCCTCTATGTTAGTTTCCTATTGCTATTATAAGAAATTACCACAAATTTAGTAGTCTAAGACCCAGATTTACTATTTTACAGTTCTGGAGAGAGAGAGAGAGAGAGCATGTTTGTGTGTGCGTGTGTGCGCACGCATGGGCACATCAATTAAGCACTTGGTTCAATCAGAGGGGAGGCTCTATTCTATTTTTTTAAATAAGATTTTATTTATTTATTTTAGATAGAGTGAGTGAGAGAGAGCACAAGTGATGGGAGAGGCAGAAGGAGAGAGAGAAGCAGACTCCCCACTGAGCAGGGAGCCTGACTTGACTTGATCCCGGGACTCCAGAATCATGACTGGAGCCAAAGGCAGATGCTTAACCGACTGAGCCACCCAGGCACCCGGGAGGCTCCATTCTAAATGTGAACTGTGGTTACCTGGGGATGTTTCATAGATGAGATCAGTCTTGAAAGACCAGGGATAGCCTCTTGAAAGACTGGTGTGCCTCTGAGGACAATCCAACTGGGACACGCAGTAGGGACAAAAGCGACGGCCATGGGAACGAACTTGTTGTGTTTGCAGGGAAAGGAGCACTGGAGAGAACTGGATACGCAGAAGTTAGGGCTTGATGGTGGAAGTACTCAGGCCCTTCTGTCACTGACAGGAAGAAAGGGGTCTGACGGGCACCATTAGTAGTTTCTTGCTCTATTCCAACAACTGAATGGGGTAAGACCCTCTCCTTGTACGTGTACAGGACAGTTTTCTTCTGAGGTCCTTAAAGCAAAATGCCAATATCAAAGATGCTGTGCAAAACTGAACCAGGAAAAGGTCCTCAGAAGACGTCGGGGAAGTCTCATGGAGAAAGTGCTCTCCTCTCCATCTGCGGTCACCACTGCCGCAGCTCAGCGGGACCACAAACCCTCAAGCCCAGCAAGAAGGTGAGGAGCACCTGGCTGACAGCAAGTCGTACCAGCTCCGGGACAGAGGAGCGAGGAAGTAATCATAGAAACGAGGTCTCCAGGCATGCAGCCCCAACTCCTGGGATGGCACTTCTTCTAAGGCCGAAAGATGACACAGCCCAGAAGTCTAAGCATGATCTTTATAACTGCACAAACATTTTCAAAAGAAAACATCAATACTCTGAGTCAAGTTAACTAACCCCCTTTTCCATGCATCCAGCAAAGTTAACCCAGCTAACAGGCTTTCATTTGGTAATGATGAACTGGCTGGGTTACAAAGGTAAGTGAATAGTGACATCCAAGATGGTGAAATAAACTGTTGGCTGTGCATGGGCTCATTAAGTTTTAATTAATTAATTAAGCTTAATCAATTCTAAGTAATGACTTCTTCCTTGAGTAGAAAAGAACAGAAACCCAGTCTTTAATCTTTCCTTAGAATCAAGGAGATGAGATTTAGAATGGTGCTAAAATTTTAGCCATGACAGGGACACCTGGGTGGCTCAGTTGGTTAAACGTCTGCCTTCAGCTCAGGTCATGATCCCAAGGTCCTCAGATTGAGCCCAGCATCGGGCTCCCTGCTTAGCAGGGAGCCTGCTTCTCCCTCTCCCTCTGCTGCTCCCCTTGCTTCTGGTCTCCCTAATAAATAAAATCTTAAAAAAAAAATTTTAGCCATAACATACAACTTTCTTCCCACCTTTCTGCATGTGAGAGAAAAGCTGCTCTAACAAATAGCAATAAAATTGTCATAAAATCATGTAAAGGAAAATACTAAGAGTTAAGTGACATTACTGTTAAGATTCTGTGAATATGTAAATTAAGCTACTACAGGAAGTGACAACATACTTTGTAATAATATAGCACAAAAATGTCATTATATATGATACTATGGTATCAGGAGTTAAATAGCCATTACGAATGACAAAGAGCCCTGGTTTAAGGCGCTGTCCAGTTTGCTCTTCTAAAACACATTTTTGAGGTGAGTCTCACATACACATAAAATTAACCATCTGAAAGGGAACAATTCAGTGGCATTTGGTTCATCCACAATGTTGTGCAGTCACCACCTCTGTATCTAGATCATTCCGAAAGACTTTCCTCACCACAAACAAAGCAGTGTTCCCCCATCCCCTCGCCTCTGCCTCGATGGATTTATCTACTTGGGGTATTTCCCCTGAGCCTCTGGCTCCTTCCACGCAGCATGTTCTTGGGGACCAACCACGTTGTCCACGCGCCAGTGCTCCGTTCCTTTCTGTGAGGAACACCCTGTGGACGCACACATACAACTCGGCATCTCTTCATCCACAGATGGACATGTGGGCTGTTTGCACCTTTCGGCTGCTGCGACCAACATCTGTGTACGGCTCTCTGTTTGAACACCTGTCTTTAATTCTAGGAGTACTTCCCGGGTCTTTTGGTAGTTATATGTGGAGGAACCATCAAACCGTTTTCCCCAAGTGGCACGCCACCTTACATTCTCACCAGCAATGTGTGAGGGTCTAATTCCTTTGCATCCTTGACGACATCAGTTACCTCCCGTTATGCTAACCGTGGATATCCCAGTGGGTGTGAAGCAGGATCTCACTGCAGTTCTGACTTTCATTTCCCTAATGCCGAACGATAAGCAACTTTCCATGTGCTTATCACCTGTTTACATATCTTCTTTGAGGAAACATCTGTTCAAGTCCTTTGTTTTTTTTTGTTTTGTTTTAAATTGTTTTTTTTTTTAACAGTTGTAAGAGTTCTTTATACATTCTAGACACTAGGCTCTTACCTGATACATGATTTGAAAACACTTCCCCATTTTGCAGGTTTTTTTTCACTCTCTTGACAGTGTCTTTTGATGCACCAAAGTTTTAAATTTTGATGGAGTCCAATTTTTGATTTTGTTGCCCATGCTTTTGGTGTCATTTCTAAGAATCCACAGTCATGAAGCTCCCCCCCCTGTTTTCTTCCAAGAGTTTAATGCTTACAGCAGTTATATTTATGTCAACGATCTAGTCTGAGGTAACTTCTTAAATTATGTGAAAGTAAGGGTCTAACTTCACCCTTCTGCAGGGGATATCCAGCTGTCCCAGCACTGTTTGTTGAAGAGACTGTTCTTTCTCCATTGAATAACCTTGGCACGCTTTTCCAAAAACAAACTGTTTGTTCTACCATCCACCAACATAATGTATGGGTATTTCTGGACTTTGAGTTTTTAAATTTTTATTCAGAATTTTCCATCCTATAAGTCTGCCACTACTTTTCCCTGAGGAAGTCTAGCTTATAATGGCATATTAGGAACTTTTGTTTCAAAACTAAAATTTTTTTTAATGAAAAACACACTTCCATAACGAATAATTTCATTATTACACATGTCTTTAAAAAATAAAGATGAGGGACGCCTGGGTGGCTCAGTTGGTTGAGCGGCTGCCTTCGGCTCAGGTCATGATCCCAGTGTCCTGGGATCGAGTCCCACATTGGGCTCCTTGCTCAGTGGGGAGCCTGCCTCTCCCTCTGCCTCTGCCTGCCACTCTGTCTGCCTGTGCTCACTCTCTCTGACAAATAAATAAATAAAATCTTTTAAAAAAATAAATAAATAGATAAATAAATAAAGATGAAAAGGAGCATATGCAACCTGGAAGTCACAACCTCTGCAAACAGTATTTTATCAAGTAGCATGTGATTTTACTGTTATTTACCCTGCTGTAATGAAGTCATTAATTTTAACTGCCAACAGTTTATAAAACCTTCCGTTTTACAGTGACTTATGAACATCCAGTCAGTCTCTCCCTGCGGTTACTACATTAAACATCCTTGGTAACAGTCTTGCCAAATTACCTGTATCAAATGACCCCCCAATTCCAAATGAGAAGAATGTTTTATTGTCTGGAACTTTTTAGACGTATTGAAGTGTCTTCATTCGGGCCATCCAAACTTCTCTTGGTACCCTGGATTTAAGCACCGATATAGAGTGCCATCACTTGGAAACTGAGATCACTATTATTTTAGACACACGCCTGGCATTCCTTCCACGCAGCCCTTCTCCTGCATTAGTCCTTCTGCAAAGCTCTACACTGCCATCTCCTCTTAGCTCCTGGGGCCTCCAACTACCTAGGCTAAAGGAAATACTTGATTCCCTGACGGCAGGTCTCCAAACCTGGGGATCACTTCAAACCACCAGTACAGAGCCTCTATCACAAACATCAGCTCCCCTACCCAGAATATCTGGAAGAGTTCTCTCTTACTTTGAATCCCCTCTGCCTACAAGGGCTAAACATGGGCTATCTAGCTTTATCACAGTTTCCTTCAGAGGCAGAGACCATCTTGTTTTTACTGACCCAAAAAAGAAAAAAGAAAGAAAGAAAGTCTTGCCCAGGGAGACTACAGGAGAAAAACTCTGGGAAGTGCTGATAACTGTAGTCTAGAAAACACGTGAAAGAGTTTACCTTGAGCTGGCCGGTGATGGCGCGGCAGCTGACTGTCTTACCATGCAAGACACTAAGGCTCAGGGTCAGACCAATGGTTCTGACGGGCTGGACACATGGCTGAAGTGAGACACCAAGGAAGAGACGGCCAGCCCAACCCCTCACACAGCAGCCCTTTCTGGTTAATCCATGGGGTGATAATGACACTGCTTGGCCTCGTCTTGCCAATGAAGGACAAGGCACTGCAGTGACGGCGCCTAGAAATGAATAGGAGTGATTTGGGGGTAAAAGGGGAAGGGGGAAAGGTGGCCAGGATGAAGAAATGAATAAAACTCCAAATTTCTGTTACAACTCACTGTCATACCTATTACTCTAGTATCTAATGACAGGAGGGGAAATGGAAAAGGGAAAAAAAAACAAAGAAAAGAAAAAAGACACAAAGCAAAAAAAAAAAAAGAAAGAAAGAAAGGAAGAAAAACTGCTACCTATTTACATTTATGCAGCATTCGAAGAATTTAGGTTTGTATCCTACAATAGGACCACATATAACTAGAGCAAGAGGTTGACTCAATTTAGTTCAAAAACCTATTGCAAAGAAAAGAGTAGTTTTTTGGTTTTTTTTTTTTTAAATCAACCGTGTTTCTAAGTTCTGACAATTTAGTTCTTAGTACGATAAAAACTGGGTCCACGCTATTGAAACAAACCCTACTTACCAAACAATTCCTTGGGCTCCGGAGCCGATTGGCTTCAACTGCTGGTAACGTTTGAGGACCGTGAAGGTTGAGTCTGCCACTTGCACACTGTAAAACTGACTGTCACATTTACTGTCACTCATGATGTAGTATCATAGAATATTCCAAAGAGTTGGTATGGTTGTTGGGTTCCTTGAAAGAAAAACAGAATGAACATGCATTCTGAGATTACACATGCGCAACTCACGCATGCAAAATTTTCAAAAGATTTTATTTACTTATTTGACAGAGAGAAAGAGATCACAAGTAGGCAGAGAGGCAGACAGAGAGAGAGGAGGAAGCAGGCTCCCTGCTGTGCAGAGAGTCTGATGTGGGGCTTGATCCCAGGACCCTGGGATAACAACCTGAGCCAAGGGCAGGGGCTTAACCCACGGAGCCACCCAGACGCCCCAAGAGTGTAGCAAATTTACTGGCCTCTGAGACAAGGGGGCTGTAAGCGGATAAACTCGGTTGCACCAAGAACTTCAACAACATGCAAACAAAACAAAACAAAAAACCCCAAACCGCCCCCCCCCAAAACCAAAAATGCAACAACACTGCCGAGGTACTGAGCCCACCATGGAAGGACGGAATGCTGAGGCCCGGCATGACCACGTTTTAAGGGAGTGGTCTAGGAAATAATAGCCTTTCTTGTATCTGTACAGTTAGCCAGCCAGGACAAGATTATGTCACCGAGTGACCCTCCTCAGCTTGCCTCCTGTGGGACCAGCATATGCCGGCTGGCTCAGGGATGAAGGTACTCAGGAGAGGTTTCAAAGGGATCCTGTCTACAATTCCTATAAACACTGCAAAAGGGCTGAGTCCACAAGTTCAGGTGAAGTGATGAAACACAGAGCAAGTCCTGGGCCAAAGTGACTGCAAACGGGGGAAGTTACAGAACAACGGGGTGCTGGGCCCTGATGACGTGGGTGTGTGTGCCTGTGCGTGTCCTGGAACTGGCCCTTGTTCCCCAAACCCCACATCCCTCACAGGCTCAATACCCACATGCTCTAGACGGAGAACTGTGGTAATCTGCAGTCAATGACCTGGGTGCTCTGACATTTATTTGTGATACATTAGTCCAAACTGACAGTCTCAAGGCGGCCATTTGGTGGTTTAGGCAACAGGCCGAGATCCCTACCCTGCAGGAGCCTGTGTGATTTTAAATACAGAAGACAAGCAAACCGAAATCAGCAGGCAGCTACATGGACAGGGTTCCCTGGCTCTTATCTGAAGACATTTATTTAAAAGTCAGCAAGCTATTTATTTTTCCCTTTTTTAAAAAACAAAAAAATTAAAAAGCCAACAAGTGAGTCCTAGAGGTAAACGTTCTATACAGTTTTAAAAACTGGGAACTTAAAATTTTATTGCCCAGCTCCAGCAATTTTCCTGTTTGTTCTACCATCTAATATTTGATGGAGACCCCCTGACTCACTGGCGTGATAATTTGTATTTTGATACAGCGATGCCTGGAATTTCCATTAAACATGGAAATAAGCTGATTGATAACAAGCCTAAATAAAGAATTTAAATTGAGTGAACAGTTTCTCCAGCTGACCACTCCTTCACTCCTGTTTCCCAGCTTTTTTTTTTTTTTTTTTTTTTTAAATACCAATTCTCAGGGCAGTGGCTGAGCCATCTGGGCTCCAGGCCTCTGCGCCATGGAGCCATCGAGGCAGAGAGACATGGGTCCTGACCTGCTTTTCAGAGTGGTCATTTGGGAAGCTGAGAGAGGGATGGCTTGGAGTGGGCAGGACTGAAGACAGGGAGACCTGGCAAAACAGGACAGGGTTGTGGCCGGTGTGGACGAGAAGGGAGCACACGTCTTGGAGGAAGCATGTACAAGACCTGGAGAAGAGGGGAAATCAGGCGAAGCCGCTGGAGGGAGGCCGGGCGCGCAAGCGGTCTGCGAGTCTGGCTTCGGACAGGTAAACCGCAGTGCCAGAGTGATGAGCAGCAGGACAGCCACAAGCTGCTGCAGATCTCCAGGACCCCTCCTCCGTCCTTCATTCTAGGACTAAAGCCTCCCTGTTCCAGCTGGACAGATGGCCACCCAACTAGCCATGACATCTGGCTGCATTCCTGGCAGCCAGGTGTGGCCAGATGACCAGCTTTTGGCACCTGAGGGGTGAGCAGAGCGACAGCATTTTTCTTTTCTTTCTTCCTTCTTAAAGAAAGCTGCCTGCTATCCAACATATCTTTCTCCGCCACTGCTGGTAGGGGGAACAGCTGTCATCGACCCAGATATGGAAGTCATGTGCCTTAGAGGGCAGAGCCACCCACCAGCCAGAGTCCCGAATGACCTTGCAGCACGGAGCCGCCCCCCACTGTGGCCCACCTGCTGGCTCGGAGGCTGGCACAAACGTCCCCCTCCACCCTCGATGAGCAATCCCGAGTTCTCTCTTCTCTGCTATAGCTGCTGGGACCTGTGTTCTGCCTGCCACGCTCTTGGGTTAGCTTTTGTGTATTTGGGGAGAACATTACATCATCAGGTTTGAGGATGGATAGATTTTCATCTCAAGATTTAAAATAATTTTTAAATTAAAGGATGTTGCGCTTAGTAGACAAAAACAAACAAAAAAACCCCACACAAACAGAAGAGAGAAGCTGTCAGAGCCACCTTCTCTGTCAACCTTGGGCTCCGTGAGCATGAGAAAGCCCCTCGCGGCAAGCCAAGACAGCCGGTAATTTAGTTGTTAATGAAATCAACTCTGTTGAGATTCTATTTCAACAAAATGGACATCACCTGGGTTTTAGAAGACAGTTTACAAATTGGGAAGTGTACGAGTTCTTCATACAACCACATTATCAACACACTGAAGGTGCAGTCACTGCCTTCACTTCCCTTGCCGGTGGGCACTGGTTCCTCCCGTGGGCTCCCGCAGTAGGACCCAGTCCCCGCCCACGCTGCTTCTGCATGGTCACGCGGTTTCAGCAGGTCTGCCTGTGTCTCCCTCCCCAGCCAGGGAGCACCTCTAAAGCAGGAAAGGTCTGTCTTCCCTCTCAAACATTGAGAAATTTAAGGAAGTGTCCGGTGTCTACCATGATCCACTGAAAAAGCTCCTTGGGGACACAAGGGACACACTCTGCTCCTTGGGGGACATGGGGGACACACCCTGCTCCCTGGGTTCTTCAGACCTGTGCGTGCTGGGTGGACAGCTCAAGGGATGGAGTTGGCCCAGCCTTTGCTAAAGGCGTCTGGTTCATGTCCATGCCCTTCTCCCTTCACCACGCTGCTTCAATGAATCCTTGTTGAACGAAATGCTCTCATCTAAAATCCCTATTGGTCTAAGACTGAGGACTCTTGCAGAATCCCCTCTAGGAATTCTGGAGTAAAATCGACCCACTCTACAGATAAATGTGGGGTAGGAGGAACATTCCTAACTTGTTTAGAGCCTAGAATAAGAAATGCTTTAAAAAAATTCACTAGAATTCCTCTAGATACATGCAATTCAACTACTGTAAATACGATATTAATGTCTGAGTCCTATGGGGACATCAGCTACCATTCACTGAGACCTCCCCACACTTCATGGGGGCCTCCTGTGCACCAAGGACAAGGTAAAGGTTATTAAGAGGGCACTAGCCAGACTGTCCCTTTCCTCGAATGGCCAAGAGCATAATCATCACACCACCTAGGAAGTATCCTAGGGGTAGAAGTGGGACCAAGGGCAGGGGCCCAGCACAGTGGTGTGTTGCGGGGCAGCTAGGGAACGAGCAGAGAGCATGTGCGAGTGAGATATGGCTGTCAAGGAAGGTTTCCAGGAGGAGTCAAGACGAGCACAAGTCTGTTCACAGTATCAACCCAGGGTTGCAGGAACAGGCCTTCTCCATCATGCTTCCAAGCACTGTAAGTTAGCGAAACACTTTTGGTGAGGAGAAGACATACTATCTAATGAAAAATTTAAAGGCATGTGACTCCTAACCTGGCAACTACTGTCCTATACATGTATTGGACAAAAATGTATGTTGGTGGCACTTCCTATAACTGGCAAAAAAAAGGAGAAATAACCTCAAAGGTACACTTGGAATGAGTGACTAAATTATGGCATGAAAGCACAATAAAGTGATTAAAAATAATGCAGGGACTTTGTGTACTGAAAAGGAATGATGTCTAAGAAACCTTAAGGCAACAAAGTTGAAGAATGCACGTAGTAAATGCCAGTCTGTGGGAAGGTTCCCGTGCATGCGCTCGCACACACACAATACGTGAGCAAGTGCAGAGATGAAGGGGGAAATGAGACTCGCTCTTCCCACGGTAACTTTCTGTGGGTTTTTAAATTTTTTTTTATTTTAGTCATGCACATATTTCACATTAAAACAAATAAACAAATTAAACCCTTTTAAATGAAAAGCTGAGACCTAAATGTAGGGTTGGTTTGGGGCAGCTGAGGCCAGAGGCAGGAGAGTGGGCCAGGCTGTGAACTGCAGGTTATAAACAACCCCCTGCCCTCTGCCCCTCTCTGCAACCACTGGGGGAGCAGTACCGCCCCTACTCTGTAGACAGGGCAAGAGCTAGGAGACAGTGAGGAAGCAGCCCAGATCCCCAGCTGGACAGCGGCACAGCCTGGGTCTCAATTTAGGTGTGTCTGATGACACTATTTCTGTCCTTCCCAATACCCTGTTCTAATTAATATCTCTCTCGCTGTATTTAGAAAGTAAAGTGAAGTGACCAAGGGCTGGTCAGGACCAGGCCAGGAAAAAACACAGCCCTTTATGTCGCATCCTGCTGGCTTCGTTCCACCAAGACACTTTCTTCTGATGATGACGACGAGTCAGTCGCCCTCACACTCAGGCCAACCTTCAACCACACAAATGGTTCAGGACACCCACAACATGCAAGATCTAAATTAACCAACTGCTGCAGTTAAAAGCAGATTTTCACAATCACCCTCTTGGTTTCAATACTTGCTATTGACGTTTTCAACCAAAATATTCTTTTTTCCTCCTTAATTCTTAACCAAAACGGCAAGTGCAACAACTTCACTTTCTTTGATAATCAGGAGCCTTGCAGCATCTCAGAGTCATCGTTCTGGATGT